TGCAATCTGCTATGACTGTGATGTGCGTGCAGTGAGAGCAAAGTGACACACGAGCGTGGCACGACAGCCATGCCAGAAAGGATTTGGTGCTCGCTGCTTGTGGCCAGTTAGCCATGTGAATACAAAATGCACGGGGCGGTTTGTGAAGAGCTGGTAGTAATCATTTGTGTGAATGGTTTTGACTGAAGAGTGTTTGGCCTTGAATATACAATACAGATTTCTCCTGTAGCAAACCTCCATAAACATTCGCTTATCACAGCTGTTGGCTGGAAGATTCACATTATTTAAAGGGCTTTCTGATATTTGATGCTGTCTGTTTTTGTCTTGGCTCGATACCGTATATAGCAGTGGCAGATTATTAACTGAGATGTGTATGAAGATCAATATAATATAAAGATCAACACGTCCTTGAGTTTAGTGCTCGTAATTTCATAGGGAAGTGTTTTTTCCCATCTCCATTTAGCTTGATTATTCAAGAGTTCTTTAACCATTACAACAGAAGCCTTTTCAGAAGAAGAGCATTTTTCTTTCACCCGAGTTGCTATGAGAACATGAATCATCTCTTTAGCACAATAGCAACAACTGTAGTGCTTAAGTACATCCACTGATTTTTTACTGTTTGTTCGTAGCTCTCAACTAGATAAGCTGTTGTTATTTCTTTCTTCTTGAACAAGCATAACATGATTGCTGAAGTAGTAGGAATAATTGGACCAAATAGTGAGGCGGTTAATGTAAACAGAAAGAATTCATCTCTTTCAAGTACAGTAAATTGTCCTCCAAAAATATGGAAATCTTGTCTATTTCTTGTTGTGCCCTAGAGCAAATTTTGTTGAGTTTGTTGTCACATCATTATTTTCGGACTGTGAAATTGCTAATGAGGAACAGGCTGCTTTCATTGGAACACTTGTATATGTTTAAGGCTGTGATGAGATGTACATGGACCAGGCTGCACCACTGGCACGGGAAAGGTTAACGTTCTTGCACTCACCATCTACCACAGGTGTCTGCCCTCACTGCAGTTGTTGCCAGGGAGCCCAGTTGGGTGAGGCTGGAGCCGACTTCAGCTGCACTGAATTAGCTTCTGAGTGAGAGATTATAAACCATGTAATCTGGCATGTGAGGCTCTTTTTGGTAGCTGAGGTAGGAATGAATGCTGTACTGGAGGAGGGCAGTGCCAAGAACTTTTTTGCTTGATCCTTAAGGCTGTGAGCTGTTGCTTTAGATGACCTTGGGAACTGTAAGCATGTCTTTAAATTTCTTAACTGACCAGTAAAATAAGTTATTCTGCCCGTGAGAGTGAAGGTAATTGAATGTCATTTATGTATTAATTTTTGGGCCGTGCTTTTACTTGCTTTGTGCTTACTGTTAAGGGTGGTGTTTTCACAGCAGTTCAGTTTGCTTTGAGGTAAATGGTTTCTCTAGAAAAAGGCCCTTGAAGAGCAAAGATTGATGGATGTATTTTAGTGTATTGGCATTTTCTAGTTATTGCCTTCCTTCCTAAATCCTAGCTTCAAACACCTGCTCTCTAACTATGGAAGGTGTTTGTTGAGATCAATGTTGAGATCAAATGTAGATGAGTGAGACAGTAGAGATGAAATTTATTCTAGATGGGAGGAGATGAGTTGTTGGGAGAAGTCTTTACAGCACTTAAATGATTTGAGGCTACTGGCCCACACCAGGACTTGTGTGCTTAACTTTAAAGGGAGCTTCTGTTCCATCCTCATTTGGCACCTGTAGTTTGTTAATCTATTGCTCCTTTTAAAGACAGAAATAAATGCTGTGCAAATATATTTAGGCAGGTGAGATGTCTGAAGATCAGCTGAGACAGTTCTCCCAACAGCACTGTTAAATTTTAATTGCTTATGGATCTGTAAGTATGTACATCTTCCTATGTGCTTCTGTAGTACAGAAGAATTAGAATTAGGAAAAAAATGAAGGCTTATATTCAAGAAGTGTTTCTAACGCTGTCAAATTATTATGCCAGTAAAACATGTAAAATCTCTTCAAGATCAAACAAATATTTGATGTGGAGATTCTGATTTGAGAGGTAAAAAAAAAAATAATTATCTGGTATTCCTAGCTTTGAGTATATGAAAGAAATGGTTCTGACCTTGGCTGAAGTAAATTAATACAACTCCATTGACTCCAGGGAAGCGACACGGATTTATACATTGTGATGTATCTGTTCTTAGTACTTGATGATAAAATCTAGAGATTAGGCTTCTTCATCAGTTTTTGTCTAAGAACTAAAGAAAGATAATAGGACTATGAGTGGGGATATGATTCAGTATTATTCTGTTTTTAAACTTCTAACCTCAGGGAATAGAGGTCTGAATGCTTGCCATGGGTCTTCCTTAGGTTTGATGAACTGCTTTACCATTGTATTTAATTGTTTGCACCTAGTATTATACTTAACAAAGATTATAAGCAATTAAACAAAAGAAGAGTAGTGCTATGACTTTTGTTTTGAGTGCCTCATTAACTTGTATTATGTTGTTAATGTAGGGTAATCCACCAACATTATTTAAACACAAAAATTCCTAGGTAATCTTGTAGAGCGCACTAAGCTTCTAATCGCCATTTTTGGGAACTTCCTGCTCATAATTGAGAACCGATGATGTATTTTTATAATGAAATCAGATTTTGGAAAGCATTGAGGGTCCTGTTGCTTCAAAACAAAAGCAGAGGCAGTCAATTGCCTTAACAGAAATAAAACCTTAAAAACATAAGTTAAGAAATAATCAGTGAGATAGTTAAGTTTTGGGGAATTAACTAGATTTTGATGGCCTAATCATAATTTGGGCAAGTTGATCTCAAATGCTGAATTACAATGAAATGTATAGAAAATTTAGTTACAATCTGGCATTGCTGCTCTTGCACAATTACGCACTGCAGTCAGAGTTATGTTTTGTTCTTTAATTTAGTGAAAACTCAGTTGTGGAAACTCATTATATTGCTGTGAGTGTGGGCCTTGTTGCATCTCAATAAAGTGCATGGCAAAGCTTGAGCTAATGACCAAGGAACTGGGACTGATCCTGATTGCCCTCTTTAGGAGCATATTCTTTGGGGCAGGTCGCACTTCATGCAGCCATACATAAACTTGTCCTGGTAGCATGTAGGCAAGGATTGTTTCACAAAGCTGTGATAACCTTTCCTTATGGCACATAAATATCTGACTGCTCAAAGGCATGCTTTAAGAAAACAGTGGAATCCTATGGTTCCTGTTTTATAAATATATAGTATCTTCCATCATATACAATCTTTTTAAGAAAAAAATCTGTTTGAAATTAGCTATCAAGAACACTGCTTCAGGCCTGAGCCAGAATTGAGCGAATATGAACTGCCAGTGATGACCAGTTTTCTTTGGGGATTATGGCTTTAATTATGGAGATGATTTACCTAATGTGTAGCTTATATATATCCATGTATATATGTCATTAGCAAAGCAGGCATCTTGACTTTTGTTTGTGAAATCTGACATGCAATCTAAACTGTTTTGTCCCATCTTATCAGTGCATACAAACTCTTTATATGCGAATGCTATTAGCAATTATAGTATTACTGAAGCCTGATAAAGACTTGAAGCCTGAGAAAGACTTAAAGCTCTGCTGAAATGCAGGGAATGGCTTCCATCTCAGTGTGCCTTGGACTAAAACATGATTGTTTCTGGGTCCTTGGTGTCCCTTGTGAAAATTCATGGGATATTCACCTCTGATGGAAGACCAAGTTATTAAGGTAACAGGGCTGGTGGAGCTTCTGGAGCAAGTTCAAGCTCCAAAATAAGGCTGATACATGGTTTGAACCAGCTTTTCCTTAGGAGGATTGCTTGTTTTCTACAAATATTTTGTACGCAAGCAAAAGGTGAAGAGCCTCTGCCTCTGTGGTGCCCTCTGGGTGGGTGCAGAATGGTGCAGCCCATCCCTGTGATGCAGCAGCACTTCTGCCCTCCAGCTGCACAGTGCTGAGCTCATTGCACGTGCTGCTCCTGCGGGATCCCTGCTGAGCTGGAGATACAGAATGTCTTAAAGTCTCCATTGCAAAAATAAATCTTGCTGATTCTGTTCCACAGAAACAAAAATTAACAAACTCATCGCCAGCGGGATCTAAATTTGATTTTTTTTTTTTTGATCTTCATGCTTTTAAACGCATTCATCTTTAAAATCTCTGCATAATAGCAGAACTGTTTTTCCCACCCCTTGTACACAGCATCATCAGGACATAAAATGTTTCTGGCCATCTGAGTATAATAATGAGGCAGCTGTACAGCTCCCTTTGTTTATACCTATTTGGGCTTAGACCTGTTGCAGTGTCCTCTGGATGAACCTTTCTCATCTCAGACCCTGCGATTTGATGTCTGCTCCAAGCATTGGTTGAAGACCAAGTTTCAGCAGTTCATTTACTCGATGTGAAATTTAGTGGATCTAAATCATCACCTTTTTGGTGAGACTTGGCAGTTTGAGGTTTGGAGATCTTGTGGCTTTGTTTTAAGTAATGGCTGGGGCTGGGCTTCAGCCTTTGGCTTTCAGACCTGTCGGTATGTTGCATGGACTTGCCAAGTAAATCACTGCTATTTATGTTATCATAAACCATTACATGTGGGTTTTTTTTTTTTACAAGAACTAAGTAGGAGAATTACATAGGTGTCTGTATTTGCAGGCAAAAATTGGACAAAGGGTCTCAAATTGTTTAAATTGGTATCGTCTGATTTTAAAGAGCTTTCCTGTACACTTCAGCTAGCTTTTGTTTTAGTGTAATTGACAGAAGGGAGTTGTTCTCCTCCAGCTTCTCTGCTCATGTTCGAGAATGCGTTCTCTGCGAAAACCTTCACCTGTAATTAATGTTCATGTAACAATTATTTTTGCTGTGAAACTGGCCCCAGCAAACTGTATTTTAATGAGGCTGTTTTTGTCTTTAAAATGGAAGGTCAACTTTATCTGTATGGAATCTGATCTAGGTATTCAGTCTTATTTCTCCTTTTTTTTTTTTTTTTTTTTTTTAAGTGTTCAAGTGGACCAGATCTGCCCCTATGTAGGATTGCTATCAGCCAATGTGAATGACAGACTAGGACCTCTGCCTGAGAAATACATTGAGGTATGTGAAATTACAAAGAGAATTACTGATGACCATGTTGCTTTGCATGCAGAAAAAGACAACACCCGTTGTTATGCTGAAATGAACGTGAACTTAGAGGATGTTAGCCTGAGATGATTGCAGCTTTACTGTGGTAGTCTGGCTTGTACATTTTTATCCTGCATATGAGCCCGTGTATACATGTATAACACAGCCTTAACCAGGTTATCACAAGTACAAGCTGGCGTACTATCAAAATGAAACTGAAGCTGAAGTTAAATACATGTGTAAGTGTAATGCACTTAGCTTCCATAGCACAGTTGGGCTCCTGTGGTAATGATACGCCCTTAATTTAGCTTGAGAAATCAGCAAACTCATTGTGTTGATGGTATGACCTAAACTAATCTTCTATCCAGAGTTTCAAAGATGAAAATACACAGAAAACTAATCTAGAGCAGCGCTGATAGCATATGATGGTTGAGAGGTTGGGACGTTATTTAAAAATATTGTAATGTAGCTGATGTAGGATTTTCTGTATTGCAGCATCAGTCATCTGTTATTCGCTTCAAAATATATTTACCTGAAAGAATAAGGCTTAAAAAAAATAAAAGCAGGATTGTTAGTGATCAGGGTGCAGGTTATCATAAATGGTGGCAATATTTTTCTGCTCCTGTTTTTTTTTTTCTTGCTCTTACTGGGTTTATGAAATATATAAGATGTATCTATATAAATCATAATGAAAACTGGCATTTCCTTTGGTACTGCTTTTCACTTCTCTAAGTCAAATAGGAGTGCTACAATGTGCCCAAGCCATTTAATATTATCCTACACAGTAGCTCAATGAAGTAAAACTTAGAGCAGGCCCTATCTGCATCTTCCAAATACTTCAATAACAGATTGCTGCTCAAAGCGCATTGAACACATCCAAACAGGAAAAATGTGCGAAGAAATCTGAATGAGAGTTCTTTGTTTTCTTGAGAGTAATTTTTCTTGCTTTGAGAACCTGGGCCACAACTTCCATTTCCTAAAGATTTTACTGGCTGGTTTGTAGATTGTTTTTTATTTGTTGCTGTTTGAAGAGCTAATAGACTGTTATTATCTATGCAATATACGCAGCCAAATATTTGTATCTCACCATGCTAGGTACTGTATGGAAGAGTTATCATTGTTCCAAATCTGATGATCTTATGGTACAGACATAAAATATAAGCTACGTAACTATGGTAGTGGGAGAATGAAAGAAGGAGATGGCAATAGCAATGACAGAGAATCAGTGCTGTTCCCTGCTTATAGATATCTTGCACAAGTTTCTGCAACTGAAATATCTACTGTCATCCAAAACTTGGCCACAATTGATTGCTGTAGTTTCCAGACTAATCCTGCATGCATCATAGGAAACCAAACTACCAACTTATTTTAAAATGATAGCATAGCATTTGGAAAATTCCCGATTTTCCCAAATAACATCTTGGGTGAACCACAAGAGATGCATCTTACAGGACCACAGTCTGCTCCAGCAAACCTGGAGAGAAACTCCACTGACTCAATGGAAAATTCAAAGGATCCAGGAACTCTGAATCCTTTCTTTTCCCCTTCTTAGAAAACTGCATTGAAATGATGGGGGGGGGGGGGGGGGGAGGGGGGAGATTCTAGTGATGTGCAGATTAGGAATGTTAGGGAAGGCGGAAATTAAACCTCAATCCAACAGAACAAAGAAATCATCTGAAAACATTCTACATCTTTGTGTCAAATCCATCTTTTTGCATGTAATAACAAGTGATTATTCATCTCTTCACACACCGAGTTGGTAGTATGCTCTTACAATCATGGTTCCAAACAGAAAAAAGTTTAACTTCCTTGTCATCCATCTTTGGCTTCCAGTTTTGCCTGGAAAAAAAAAAGTGGGGGGGGAAGTATTGGAGTAACAGAATTTCAAACCTGACAAATAAATGGAATAAGGATATGTTACACAACACACACACAACCACGACAGTGGAGCAGGAAGGTACTGTTTTAAGAAAGCTTGCCCACATGAAGAGAAGTTTACTATTCTGTGTTAAATTTCAAGGATCCTTTTTTTACTTGGATCTTTATACTTTCCTTCTGGGAAGGAAGAAATTCAATAGCTTAGTCCTCCAGCTTTGTTCTAAGATACTGGCAGTCTGATTTTCATGTAAAACTGCATTTGGACCACTGTAGCTAGGTTTAACCACATACTAGATCTTACCAAAGTCTCATACAAACCAACTATCATCTGGTGTATAATTTCCACAAGTGTAATGATGAAGATTCAAAGGTGTTACTCCTGGCTTGCACAGATAAAAAGTTAAAATGCTGTTCTCAAGATAACAACAATAATGGGATCCAGGTTTTTATTCTGTGGCTGTAAGGAGGCGTCAGACTACCAACTTGATGTTCTTTTTGAAAGTTTGTTTTCTTCCAAAATTGTTAGATGTTAAAATTTCTAACAATAGTCACAAAATATGGCTCCTATGCTGAGCCTAATTGAATCTGGTTATTTATTATGCAACATAAAATGTATTTATTACATGGGATGTGTTCAGAAACGTCTCCATTTACCATATGTTTTCAAAAGTGCTTTACGCAGTGCAAATTGAGAAGATAAATCTGCACAGTGAAACCACCAAGGGTCAGGTAGTCAGTCCAACCTGAGTCTTCGGAGCCAACCACAGCTTAATTCCTCCAAGATGCCTCAAACAGATGCTGCTTTACATTGTGCTCCCTTCTTTCATTCTCCAAAAACTGTTTTTTCCTTCTGCTGTTCCTGTTTCTTTGGTCACCATAGTTTGTGAAGTGTATCCACCCAGATTTTGCTTCTGGTAAGTTTGATAGTGTCTGTGGGATCTCAGTGAACTTCTTTCAACCAAAGACCAAAATGTTGGCGGCCTGAAGTTTAATCATTTGCAATTTTCCTACTGTAATCTTGAATGAAATGACTACTCAGTGCAGCTTCAGATGGGCTGCTGACCTTGTACAGTTGTGTCAGATGAACTTCAGGTTGCAAAATCCCTGTTTAATTTGTTTTGTTTATTTCCAAGCTGCATGGCAACGTTTCATTGACATAGTGGCTGTTGTTGGCTCACAGCTACTGTGATATTGAGCAGTGAGGTTCTGGCATCTGTGTACTGTGATGAGCCTCTTCCAATTGCTGCTCAGAAAATAATTGTTCATCAAGGCAGGAGGGTCAGTTTTGATTCTGTGACCTGAGTGGGAAAGGCATATGGTTTTGTCATGCTGTGCTGCTAAGCAGGTATTTAGTCAGCTTTGCCATGGGACTGCTGCTGTCAGGAGAGTAATGTAGAGAATATTCACACATTCAATTTATAGAAAATGTATTGAAAACTTAAACTGAATTGAGTAATATACTTGTTTCAATAAAATCTGCATTAGATCAAGCCAAAACTGAAATATACTGCTATTTAAACAGAAACAGGAGTAAGTATTCACTGGGTTAACTTTAATATTACATTCAGATGTTCTGGAATTGACTGATAGAGCAGATGGGACTATGATGACCAATTCCTAATAAAATATAGAGAGATTACACTTGTTTATCTTTTGTTATTTAGAGCCTAAGGAATATAGAAAAGACAATTTTCACTTTTGTTTCATAGAATTAGGGTTATACTTCATATGCAACCTCCCTCAAAACTTCTCTGGTTACAGTACTCAAGTACCCTTGTTAATGTTACTCATTGCTAATAAAAGCAATGTTCCTTATTTTTTGACAGGCTTAGGGGAGTAGCATAACTCCAGTCTACAGTTAAATTCTGTGCTTTTCCAGTTCATAGAGAATTTTGGCAGTAGGGCAAGACACATGTATATACATGTTGCATCAACTATTGGGAAAGCTTTGTAAGTATTCCTTTACTTATTGATCAAACAATGTTTATACAAATAAGCTGTCATTTAAAGTGGTTGTAGTTCTTTTTCTTGAAGATAAAATCAGCGTTTTCCAGATGTCCCTCAACTTTTTTTTGCCTTCTCTCCTATATGGCCACTAGAAGATAGTCAACCATTCTCTTTATACTTCTCAAGTTTCCCAGAGTAATGAAATATCCTGAGGCAGCCACATCTGCAATCCTATCTAATTGTGGAATTGAGGATGGGAATAACAGAACCAAATTAACAAAGAGCCATCATTAGTAAAGCCACTGGTGGTCAACCATAGTTGATATTGGTTTGTTTTTTAGGCATATGTTGGTGTTTCAGAAGCACTGTATCTGTGATTTCTTCTCTTGCTGAAGGTTCACTTTTAAATTTACAAACATGGAAACACTTTGTAATACCAAATGCAGTAAGGCAGATGGTGACAAAGCCAATTTAGTTACATGAGATGATTAACAGAAAGCAAACCGGCACCCAGAAATGTTGGATTTCTAGGCAAAACCACTGTCTGGATGCAGAGGAAACAAAGCAAAAGCTTTTATCTGTAAAAGTGACAATGGACAATAAAGATCAGAAGGTAAAGATAAATCTGTTTTACTGCCTCTGTGAGGATAGGATGAAAAGCAAGGGAAAGCACTGCTGAAATGAGTAATGCTTTGAGCAGTGGAGAAGCTGATAAATGCTCAGGTTACGTGAACTTGAACAGAACGCAATTGTAAAGTTTGTTTGTTTTCTAACCTGAAGTCAAATTGAAGAAATTGTATATCTTCATAGCAAAGGGCATTATTGTATGGATTTGGAGACTTCAAAGACAGTATTGTCAGCAACCAAACCACTTATAAAGTTTTTGGTAAAGAGTTGCAGCTAGGGAGTGACTGTGGCAAGTACTGAAGATGTCAGTGTGTCTCCACCAGGGAAGGGTATTGGTGACCAAATTGCTGCATTTGCCCTGTTCTCTCACTAATGGACTGGTTTCTGCTGGGCTGTAGGGCTAGCAGTGGCTTAGTCTTAATGATTTTGACAGGCTGCAAAAATATAAGCAGGTGCTAGTTATGCCACTTTGTGCCCTCTGTCAGTCAGAGACTGTCAGCAGAGAAGTCTACGAATCGAGA